TTAAAAGCCTCCAGCGATGGAGCACATACAACTTTTGATGCCCAGTCCTTCCATTGGTTGATTGCTCTCACTGTTAGGAAATATCTCCTTAGTTCTCGGTTGGTTCTCTCCTTGATTAGTTTCCAACTATTGCTTCTTGTCCTGCCTTCAGGTGCTTTGGACGATGGGTCGACCCCTTCTTCTTTGGGGCAGCCCCTCAAATGTTGGAAGACTGCCATCACGTCACCCCTCATCCTTGTTTTCACTACAATAGACATACCCAGTTCCTGTAACCGTTCTTCATATGTTTTTAGCCCCTAGTGCCCTAATTATTTTAGGGGGTCAAAGAAGATATTTTATTGGTGGGAGTCTACCTAGAAGTTTCAACTCTAGGTAGCAGGGACTTAAATTTGCTCTCCTAAGCTTCTGACAACAATCCTAGATACGGGCACCCTTGGTTCTCTATATTATTCTTCATGGAAGGTAACATTATTAGACAGGATATTACTCATAGAAGAGAATATTTGTACCTCAAGGCTGTGGCACATGATGTTCCCAAGTTTAGTAATGAAACATCTGCAAAAAAAAAAAAAAAAAAGCCGCCAAGCTCAGAGAGCACCAAAGGACCCCACAGATAGGGCATTCCCAGGGGTAAAGGTTTTCCACTGGTCTGGAGGTTGAGCTTATGGGTCGCCAGTAGAGCAGTGTTTCTTTAGACCAGTGCTTCTCAACCCTAGAGTCTTTGAGAGGACTTCAACTCCCAGAATTGAAGACCAGTTTTTCTCAACCCTAGAGTTTTTGAGAGGACTTCAACTCCCAGAATTGAAGACCAAGTGCTTCTGAACCTTAGAGTCTTTGAGAGGACTTCAACTCCCAGAATTGAAGACCAGTGCTTCTGAACCCTAGAGTCTTTGAGAGGACTTCAACTCCCAGAATTCCGCAGCCAGCATGGATTCTGGAAGTTGAAGTCCACTCACCTTAAAGTTGCCAAGTCGAGAAACACTGAAAGTTTAGGCTGAAGAGCAGCAGTATCTATTCAGATTCAAGAATGGGATTTATTGGACTTCCTCCCTAGAACATGGCCTACTGCGCAACTTCATCTCACTCACCTGTTGAATGCTTCCGTGTTCTCTCGATGTCTTTATACAGAGATCCCAGGATGTCTCCCATGGATTTAGATATCCTCATTTCATGCTGCTTGGTGTTGTTGGGTTGCGGAAGCTGCAAACAGAACAAGAGTTGTTGGTAGTTCCCACCGAACAAGTAGTGATTCAGTGGCTGTTGCAAGGAATGATACAGCGCAGGAGGCCCCAGCGCTCGGTTAGTGAGGGAATCAAGTGGTCGGTTAATGAGGAATCTGGGTGATCCATTTAAGGCAAGGGTCTTCAAACTTGGCAAGTTTAAGACTTGTGGACTTCAACTCCCAGAATTCCTGACTGAAGGAGGGATTCTGGGATTTGAAGTCCACAAGTCTTAAAGCTGTCAAGTCTGAAGACCACTGAGTTAAGGTGACATCGCTGAACAGTGAGGAGAAAAGCTGTGTAGCCCCTGCCTGTAGTACTCAACTTACAACTGTTCATTTAGTGACTGTTGAAAGTTACAATGGCACTGGAAAAAAGTGACTTAGGGTCACTTTTCACAATTGCAATCTTTGTAGCATCCCCTCGGTCACATGATCAAAATTCAGCCTTGGTTCACTTTTATGACCGTTGCAGTGTCTTGAGACCATGGGATCATCCCCTTTTGCAACCTTCTCTTCATGATTTGTGTGATTCACTTAACAACTGCAGTGATTCACCAAACAGTCATAAAATCTGGTGTGATGATTCGCTTAAAATTACCTTGTTTAACAACAAAAATGTCTGATCCCAGTTGTGATTGTAAGCCAAGGACTACCTCTATTAAAAGGGTTGATTCCACTGGTCAGATAATCAGAGCTAACTGGGGAATGAAGCACAATGATACCCAAGTGCCAAAAATATATGCAGGTGGTGCTAATGAGGGAATGCTAATTAGCATAAAACATCAATCATCTTTAATTTTAATCTCTTTTCATTTCACTCTACTTCCCTTTCTAGGGTCAAACTGCTCAGGGATTATTTCAACCTTCTGAACTTCTGAAAATGTTTTAGGAAGATGGATTATTTCTTTTCTTCAGCATAGTCATTCGGTGACCGTGGGTAGTCCTCGACTTACAACAGTTCATTTAGTGACCGTTTGAAGTTGAATGGCACTGGAAAATGTGACATACTACCATTTTTCGCAGTTATGACCGTTGCGGCATCCCCACTGTCACGTGATCAAAATTCTTGGCAACGTGACTCATGTTTATGACGGTTAAAGTGTTTCCAGGGTCACGTGATTCTGTTTTGCGACCTTCTGACAAGCAAAATCACTGAGGAAGTCAAATTCACTTAACAACCATCTTATTCATTTAACAACTGCAGGGATCTACTTAATAGCTATGGCAAGAAAGTTTGTAAAATGGGATAAAACTCACAGCAAACGTTTCTCTTAGCAACAGAAATTTTGGACTCAATTGTGGCCATAAGTTCTCAGCTTAGAACAATAATGGAGCCTGCCTATTATGTGACAGTCATAAAGCAAGCTATCACATATCTGATCTAATTTTACTACCATTCTTTTCAGCGGTTGTTAAGCAAATCATTATAATCCTTAAGTGAACATATGGTCATTAAGTGAAGACTGTGGTCATTGTTTGCTAGGGGGCATTTTTGCTGAAAACCAGAAGTAAATGCTGGTTTTAGGCAAAAAAAAAAAACATTGTAAATTGTTGTTCTTGATAGTGGGAATGCTATAAATGATCATAAATATGGTCATTTCACAGTGGCGTGTAAGTGTGCAGCCACTGGAACTTTAGAACTGGGTCATAAGTATTTTGCTAAGCAACTGGTCATAAGTAGAGGACTACCTATATGAAGACGACCCTCTCACACACGCTTCTGGCATTCTGTTTTTACTTGATGCAAACTATCCCCAAAGGATAGTTGTTGCAGGAAGGCAGCCTGTTGCTAACACCCCAAGTGCCCAGCAATCACAATTCAGCATTGCAGCAGGGAGAGGGAATACAGATAGTCCTCGACTTACGACCACAATCGAGCCCAAAATTTCTGTTGCTAAGTGAGGCAACTGTTAAAAGTGAATTTTGCCCCATTTTGCAACCTTTCTTGCCACAGCTATTAATCACGGCGGTTATTAAGCGAGTATCATTGCTTAAGTGTGTCTAATTAATGTCGGCTCTAGCAGAGATCAAAAAGTGGGCTTTCTAACAATAGGAACTTAGCCTGAATATTGGGGGAAGGAAGGAAGGAAGGAAGGAAAGAGGAAGGAGGGAGGAACGGAGGGAAGAAGGAAAGAGGGAGGGAAGAAGGAAGGAAGGAAAGAGGGAGGGAGGGAGGGAAGAAGGAATGATATATCTCTTTAAGAAGAGATTGTCCAATGTTAAAGAAGGGATTGGACAACCTCAATATAGTCTCCTGCTTGACCAGGGGGTTGGACTATTTATTTATTTGATTTGTCAATTGTTTACAAGATAATAAGTATAAGTGTATACATAGTTATGAATGCATGAAATGGGTACATATAAGAAAAATAAAAGAAACAATAGGACAGGGACGGTAGGCACATTGGTGCGCTTATGCATGTCCCCTAAAGACCTCTTAGGAAAGGGGTCAGGTCAATAGTAGACAGTCTAAGGTTAAAGTTTTTGGGGTTTGGGGAAGAAACCACAGAGTCAGCTAGAGTATTCCAGACATTGACCACTCTATTGCTGAAGTCGTATTTCCTGCAATCAAGTTTGGTGCGGTTAACCTTGACTTTGTATCTATTGTGTGCTCTTGTATTGTTATGGTTGAAGCTGAAGTATTCATTGACAGGTAAGTCATTGCAATGTATGATTTTATATACTATACTTAGATCGGACCGAAGGCAGCGTAGTTCTAGGTTTTCTAGGTCTAGAATTTCAAGTCTGGTGGCATAAGGTATTCTACAACGAGTAGAGGAGTGGAGACCACCAAGGTTCCTTCCAACTCTTCCCCTTTGACTCTGCTTATCAGAAAGTCACCAAAGGAGATCACGTGACCCTGGGACACTGCAACCGTCATAAATATGAGCCAGTTTCCAAGCATCTGAATTTTGATACTGTGGGGATGCTGCAACGGGGATTAAGCGTGAAAAAACGGCCGTCAGTCACTTTTTTTCAGCGCCGTTGTAACTAAACGGTCACTGGACAAATATTTGCAAGTTGAGGACTACCTGCAAAAAAAAAAGAGATTTCCCGTGCAAATAAGTTTGGAAAAGTGAGGAGGCCAAGCACCGATTCCCCAGAGGGGAATCTTCTAACTTTGTAATCATCAAAATGTACAAGGGGTTTCCGCTCCTTTGGATGGACCACGTGGCCCTTTTTGCTTTGTACACAAACACAAGTGGACAAATATAAAAGGGGGGGGGGGGAGGAAAAGAAAAAGAAACAGGTCTCACATTTGTTTCCTTTGGAGTTTTCACAAACACCCTCAAGCTTTTCAGAGAAGGGCTTAGGTCTAAATGTTCCACCGCTCGGTCCAAATCTTCCTGCGATTTCAGGGGAATCAGGAGCTGGAAAAAGATTTGAACAAACACAGGCCAGGCGGCTGAATCGCAAAACAAGAGAAAAGACAGGAAGTGACTGAAGGCCAGTGGGGGGGGGGGACGT